AAGATGGGCGACTGGGTCCTTCGGAAAAGGGAGGTCAGCCGGCCGACCGATGGAGGAAAGTTTGCTAAAAGCTTCGAGGGGCCATATATCATAAAGGAGGTGTTGGCCGATGGGACATTTAGATTGCAGACTCCAACCGGTGGCGACGTTCCGCGAGTATGGAATGCCGCCAACCTTATTAAATTTTATCAATAGATTGTATTCCAGCCATGTTTTTTTTTGAGATTTAATAAATCCAGCTCTCTTGCACATCTTGTCTCCAATTCTCAAAAAAAAAAAGGATCGACCACAAGAGATCGATCGCTAAAATTGCACGGTGATTCGTGCTAAGATACCCAGTAGTGGGTGAAGCGTCGAACCGTGTCAGGCGACCAAGGTTGAAGACGACGCCGTGGCAAGAAAGTCTGAGAGAACGGCTAAGTCTGGAACACAAGATCTGTTGATCGCATGAGCGACCAGGGGATCTTGGGGGTATGGCGACGCCACAAGGGTCAAAGTAACCCGAAAGTGGCTAAGTCAAAAGAGGCGAGGTATTCTCTGATTTAAGTCCGAGGGAACCGGAACGTCAAATGTAGGATGCGAAAGAGAAGAAGGTGAAACTTGTAAGTAAACAGGTAACATCAAAATACAGTCACGGAAATGTTCATTACATTTCAAGGATAATCTCTTGCATCTACTACAGTACAGTTGAGAACAATCTCTACGTTAGGAAGGATACTTCCCCATACATCTCCTACAAGGAAAAACAACAATCTAAGACTTTGCGAGCGAAGGTCTAGGGGGGATAGGCAGGTCTGAAAGGTAGTTCTGCGGCTGTATAGGCAAGCAAAACTCCGATCACCGGCCGTCCAGGACGACCACCTTTCTTCCCCAACATGGAATGGGAGTGGTCGCCCCCAGCCTCGGCAAAAACCCACCGCCCTTCTCCTACCAAGGAAGGACGGGGGACGACTCACTTCTCTGTGAACCCCAACCAGCATCACCTAGGCGAGGACGGAGATCCTGAAGCCGCCCGAGCTACTTCAGGTCGCCTAGGGGTCTTCTGGGGAAGTGAACGGCAAGCGGGGCGAGGTAGGGGAGAACCCAGTTCTTCCCCTAACACAACCTCCTCCGAAGGCCTCACCGGCGAACTGGTGTGACTTTCGCTGGTCCATCGCTCAAAACTTGCGTAATATGCGCACTCATGCTCCAGGAGGGGTAAGTGCTCATCTTGAAAGCTCTCCCAGGCCATAGATTGCAGGGAATGGAGGGGGCATAGAGCATCCCAGTCAATCCGCCCGTCAGGCAGGCGGTTGGCGGAGAGGGCCTCGTACGCCTCATGAAAGTCTTCATAAGGGTTTGGAGGTGGTGGCGGCGGTTTCACCGACGGCCACTGCCGGCGAGGCAACCGGCAACAGAATTCGTTAGGGTCAAGCCCCCCTAGTCATTGGAATTGACTGACTTGGGGGAAGAGGCAGGCTCTGGCGAAGAAGGAGCCGGCCCGTCGGAAAGATCTAGAGAAACAGGAATTCCTTCAGACATGGCAAGAATGGAGAAAAGGGGGATATTTGGTGATGGAGCAGAGTAGAGGCCAGGGGGACTTATAAATAAGCCAGGGCAAAGGAACCGAAGAGGCGGTCAAGTCTCGAGGCAGCCGAACCGATAAAGCAGCCTTGAGCCGCGCGAAGGTCCAATCAGAAACGGTGAAGGGCATTGGATCAATTGGGCGGCACGATGGCCAATCCAGGGATTGAGCCCGGGCAGGTAAACGGGCCGGGACTAGGAGTTGGGCCCAAACTAAAACATACATGTTAACCAGCTAAATCAGAAAAGAGAGTGCTGAAGTAAAGCGCCAAAGAGAGAAAACACATGGCGAATCTAGAAAATTAAACAACATAGGAGCATTGTATCAAAACGACAAATCATTCTGAAGGAAAAGAGAAAGGCAAGTGTTGGTAAAGCTATGGGGGAACAATGGGGGATTTAGACGGCCGAGTCGGAGGGTCCACCCGCTTTGGACATGGCGAAGCTGGCCCCTGGATTCATGTCGCTCTGACCACCTTCCACTTCTTCTTCTTCCTCCTCTTCCGACGCGCTCGAGCTCCCCCCGTCCAGATAGGGACTAGGGTCGAACTCGGCCAAGGAGCGGCAGGGAGAAGGGAAGCCAAGGTCGGGGAGAGAGAATCCTTTAGGGAGCTGGGCCAGCCTGTTGCGGAAGACCTGTTGGGCATGGAAGAGTCCGCAATTGAAGGACTTGGTTCCCTCCTTGACCATCCATTGGGCCCCAGGTTCAGTTTTGAGCCAAGCGGCCGTTAGTTCTTCCATCCGCTCCATTGCGACTACCGTGAAGTCAGGAGAGGACTTGAAGGATTCTACCGCTCCCTCTGCATGGCGGACCCGATCGCCCCTCTCTACCTCCAACTTCTGGATCAGATTAGATTTCTCCCCTTCCAGCTCGACCACTCGAGCAGAAACAGATTTTACCTCCAAGGACAAGGAGGCTTTGTCTGCCTCAAGGGCGACGCAGCGGTTCTCCTGGGAAGCTTTCTCCACGGTAAGCGCCGCACAACGATTTTCTTTCTCCTCCAACTCCCTGGTGAGTCGGGCGACCTCCTCCTGCAGCTCCTTCTGCTTGGCCTCGGTTGCTTTCATCACCTCGTCCGCGGCGGCCTGGCGACCCCGTTTCCGGCCGACCACCTCAATCATCCCCAGCGTAGCCTGCGCAGAGGGGTGAGGGTTAGGGGCCTAAAGAAAAGGAGTGATGCATAGGAGATCAAGACCTGTACCTGACTGAGCCTCAAAAGGACCATGTTGTCAAGGTCGTCCTCGGAGCCTGCCGAGATACGAGCCTGGTCTTCTGCAGGCAGAGTGATAAGAGTCTC